TGGAAATGTTGGAATTTAAATATTGTCCGCCTATTGTATCGTTAAAGGAAACAAACCTCAACGATCTGTATGGAAGTCCTGAAACAACATCCCCTTGACTGCAGTGGCGTACCTACCGATACGCCAATACGCACGGGCTTATAAAAAGAAAAAGTTCGAAAAAAAAAAATCAAAAATGAAATCATTAATTTGGGCGAAGATCGATCAACATATTCGTAGCTGCTTATTGATTCTACAGGTATGCTTAGGATGTTACCTTATTCGAATATGCGTTACCTTTTTATGCACAATCAAAACTTCAATTATGAAGAAAGGGAGTAAAATATGATAGAAACATTTTTTTTTTGGAATTTTCTCTTTTTCAGCTTGAGTTAAGCGTTATATTGCTATTATACCGCGTCAAAATCCAAACAAGGACACGAATTGTCCAATATATTACAATAATTTTTTTCAGAAGAATCAAATCAGTGAAAAGAAAACGGTTATTTCATTGTATACATCTAGATCTATATGCAAAATAAAGATCTTGTTTGCAACTTGGCGTTTGCAGCACAATTGAAGGGAGTGAGTTTGCTGTATGGAGTGTCTTTTAATATATTACCTTGTAACTATATAAATCAGTATATTATTATTAAGTTCAGTAATATTCATTCAACTTATATTCATTTCAAATTATGTAGAATAGTTTTGACACTGTGAATCAGATCTTTGCAGTGAACTATTGCCAACATCCATCGTCACAAACCAAATTCAACTTTTGTTTATTTGACCGTAAAACAGAATACAAGTACTTACAAAATATATCACTACAGAAAATTGTTTCTACTATATATATATATATAGTTCTCTGGTCCCAATCAGTGAAGAAGACAATAAAAATGTCATCGTTGATTTGTGAGATATGTTAACAGAGAACAAACTCTATATATGTGAATGTTGAGCTTGTTTCAATGTGTAGTGCAGTTTGTGACTGTATATAAAGCTGTTCTGAAACCATCATTTTGTGATGGTGGATGAGCAGGGGCTATGCTTTCATGACTGTTCTGCTAGGCGCTGTGCCGTAATTGGACTGGCATATCGATGTGGTGGTATGTGTGTATATATTCTCTCATTTCTATCAATTTATCTGCACACTTGTATCTTAAGTGATCCCACGCAGGGGAAAGTATAACTGTATTGAATTTAATTATCTCCCTTTATATATACTTTATCTGTCTAAATTCATTGTATCCTACGGATCTACTTGATCTTACGTGATCCAGTTGACTTTCGGAAATAGATATATAGTTCTCTGGTCCCAATCAGTGAAGAAGACAATAAAAATGTCATCGTTGATTTGTGAGATATGTTAACAGAGAACAAACTCTATATATGTGAATGTTGAGCTTGTTTCAATGTGTAGTGCAGTTTGTGACTGTATATAAAGCTGTTCTGAAACCATCATTTTGTGATGGTGGATGAGCAGTGGCTATGCTTTCATGACTGTTCTGCTAGGCGCTGTGCCGTAATTGGACTGGCATATCGATGTGGTGGTATGTGTGTATATATTCTCTCATTTCTATCAATTTATCTGCACACTTGTATCTTAAGTGATCCCACGCAGGGGAAAGTATAACTGTATTGAATTTAATTATCTCCCTTTATATATACTTTATCTGTCTAAATTCATTGTATCCTACGGATCTACTTGATCTTACGTGATCCAGTTGACTTTCGGAAATAGATATATAGTTCTCTGGTCCCAATCAGTGAAGAAGACAATAAAAATGTCATCGTTGATTTGTGAGATATGTTAACAGAGAACAAACTCTATACATGTGAATGTTGAGCTTGTTTCAATGTGTAGTGCAGTTTGTGACTGTATATAAAGCTGTTCTGAAACCATCATTTTGTGATGGTGGATGAGCAGTGGCTATGCTTTCATGACTGTTCTGCTAGGCGCTGTGCCGTAATTGGACTGGCATATCGATGTGGTGGTATGTGTGTATATATTCTCTCATTTCTATATATATATATATATATATATAACGAGAAAAATGTATAACCATATAAGACACATCGTGTCTGAATTAATTCATTTATTTTTGCCGACTTTAGATAACAAATTGGCGAGTCTGTTTATACCAACATGCTTTATGTGCATGGGGTATTTAACTTCGTAACAAAATAACTTAGATATTTCGAATGGAAATTGAAAACAAGAGTTGAGAACAAAAATGTTAAAGGCAATATTTATTGTCTACAACATTGACTTAATACGCATTAAAAATATTTTAAGGAAGCTAAATGATCGTGCGATACTACATTTTAGCTGTGAATACGATAACCTTTTCGTTACACTAAACATTTAAGCTCTGTTGTGTTTGTATTAAAGTCATACAGGTCATTTTAAAGCATATTTTCCTTGATTATATCTCGCGTTAAGTTATGGTGAAACAAAAGAAAAATAACAAAGAAAAAACTAAACTTGTTACAAAAGGAAATAAAACCCATCTTTTTACAAAAGAGACGCCTGACTATGTTTTGTTTTTCTAAAAGCAAATAACTTTTGAACTATTTAAAACAGTTAGACTTCGTGCTATTTCTCACATTCAATATATGTACTTGATGCTATTTTCATAACTATAGATAAAGACAATTGTAGAGTACAATTAGATAAAATATCACCTAAATCCTTTGTTATAGCACAAAGCTATCACTGGCGATTCTTCGGCCAAAAACCGGCACTCGGCGTGCACTCATAATAAGCCGAGGTACGCCCCTGGGCTTCTTATTTCTGTAAATAATTTGCTCCAGTTTCTGTAGATCTATACATCAGTTCAAAGCGTTCAGCACTGCTTGAAACAACAGTTTACATGTACTTAGATCTACTCGCTATCCAATCAAAATATAAAAAAATCAATTAAAGAACTACACACAAAATTTGAAATTCATTTATCTTAGCATCTAAATAACCCCGACTGCTCAGAAAAATCTACATTCTCACATATCTACTCCTTGTAAAAATAATAGAGACACGTTATGATGCCATTTTGAACTACAACAACATGTCGACTTAGTTCTATACTGTATATAAACCCATTTAATAAAAATAAAATTTATGGATACTAATGAAGTATATGTTAGATCTACTTGATTAAAGTTTATTCCGTATTTTTCTTCAATTTTAGTGTAGAGATAATCTTACTTCAGCTTCAATCGCAACTACTCGGCACTTTCCGTCATTTCTGGTCCTTCAGGATCATTGATGCCAACACTATAAAGTGTTGAGAATTGAGTACCGCTCAAGCCGGTGCTAGGGGGCGTGAGGGATGTTGCACTTCTACATTATCCGTCATGTACAGACTCAATCAAACCGAGTCTGCAATTCTTATGTTATTTTGTTGTGATTAATGCTTCCGAGGGATCACTTTGTTTCCAGAATTTTGTACTTCACAACAGCAGGTGTCAAGTGCCGTGTGGCAGCCGTAAAAAGTTGCCCCGTACTTCACTTCAGTGTTGTTATATTTTCTGGTCCTTCGGGATCATTGATGCCAACACTATAAAGTGTTGAGAATTGAGTACCGCTCAAGCCGGTGCTAGGGGGCGTGAGGGATGTTGCACTTCTACATTATCCGTCATGTACAGACTCAATCAAACCGAGTCTGCAATTCTTATGTTATTTTGTTGTGATTAATGCTTCCGAGGGATCACTTTGTTTCCAGAATTTCGGACAAGGACTTCGAACACAATACATGTAGTATGAATACACAGAACGGATGCGGTCTTTCGGTCTAACCTACGCTAAGAAACCAAACATGTAAACAAATAGTAATTAAATACTGGGAGTTGTTGATAAGTTTTTTTTTTATTTCCAATATATGTAGTAAAAGTCCACCTAAAATAAAGTACAAAAGCAAACAATACATTATTTTATATTTACTACTATGGTTGTAGAAAAAGAAAGTACAAAAACCAACCTGTTGACATTTAGTCGGTAGTGTTTAAAATTGAAAATCAGTGGGCATATTTAAATTACAAATTGTTGTCAGACATATTCAAGCATAAGAGTACCGGAAAAGACATTAGATGTCAAATATATACATTCGTTTTACTGTTTACATCTGAAACCACGTGGTAGAACTACTTTCAATCCGTATTGTTTCCGAGGTTATTATAGATAATAGCCGAGGCAGTTCCGAATGCTTCAGCTTGCGTTTCGCCGACGCTTACTTGTTGTTGTTGTACTTGAATTGGTGCCCTCGTGCGAATGTTCATTATGACGTCACAAATTGTCACAATTCTATTTTAGACACGTTCTGAATGAACGCAACTGTTCATATTATGTTCAACTTTATAATGTTTTAATTATTAAAGCATCATTACTTATTGAATTGCGTAAATCTAACATCAGTTACAATACATTGACCAAAAAAACATACCCAAGTACTCAAAAACTCAAATACTTTCATGTTGTCTAGTCAGAAGGACTGCCATTGAACACTGACGTTCAAGTTATAAGTGTTCAACTCGTACATAGAACGCCTTCGCTGAACACAGGTATTCAAAATATAACGCGAAATGTTCCAAAATTGAACAAGTGTGAACGCGATCAGTGTTCTCCTTATTTACAGTGTGGGAAGGGCGGTCTATGTAAAGAAAAATCAAACTGTTTTCCTCAAACTGAATCTAAAGTATTTCTTTCGATACCGTATTTCAGTGCATTTATGCTAAACAACTATACTAAAAATTTATTACGGGCCTCATACTCAAATAACAAAGCAGATTTCCTTGTATAAATACAATTGTTTCTCTCGGCGAGTATGATTCAGATACCTTTTCTGATTTCATTTTCCAACTGTCCTCATCAAAATGGGTTTCTCATTATTGTTATCATTTGTTATTGTCGTTGGAATATATAGTTATAATTTTCCTGAGGCTAGAGAGCCTGTATGTTCTAAATTTGCATATGAAGAACAGCTTTTAGAGAAAAAATAAGAACTGAAATTAAGGTAGAAACAATGGTAAATGAAATTAAGAAAACTGAGGATAATGTCATCAGTACATTAGGTGACATTAAACAAACAGTTTCTGATTTCACGGACATGTTTGTAGATATGAGACGGAACATAACGGACGACATGTTAAGAAGAAGTGATGAAATAAAAATGAGAGAAGGTAAAATATAAATGTTGTTTTACATCAAAACTTCATTTTTTAAACATAAATATTTATCACGGAACAGTACTGATAAAGTATGCAATAAATGTTAATATATATTTTGCATTTTCTTTATCTTTCATTGTTGTTCAATTGTTAGCATCAATGTATTTTAATAATGTGTATTGATTTATTAAATATAGTTAAAACAATGTAGATATAACAACTTAAAAATATTTACAAAATAAAACCATTATTTTGTAAATTAATTGACATTTAATACACCATTGTTAACACACAATGACGTTTTCGCCTAAGATGACGATAAACTGTTTTCAATTCTTAAGATATGACATGACTTTTGTTGTCGAACTTTATAAACATTATTTTCTTTATTAACATAAGCACGTATTGAATGACATTAAAATGGTAAACGATACATCTCCAAGAGAAATCGATTGTTTATAAAGCTATGATAGAGAAATGAATCGTAAAAGAAAAGTTGTTTACTAAATAACCTTGAACTTTGGCAATGATAAGTTAATACTTTATTTCAGAATCGTTCAAGACTCTTTTTGAAGAAACAAGAAACAGCCTCACTATTGGCATTGACTCTCAAAAAGAGGAACTTATTAAACTTCAAGGTATCATATCTTACTTTGTTTCAACGTCACCTGTGTAAGATAAAATTGTATTTCATTTATATTTATCTACAAACTTTCATAACAAATAAGATAGTTGCTTACTTGACTGATACATTCATTAAGTCTACCACTTTGTCAGTTATATATATATATATACAACAAACAAGGTTGATCTAATATGTAAATTTGTTAATATATGACATGACTTTTGTTTTCAAACTTTATAAACATTATTTTCTTTATTAACCTAAGCCCGTTTTGAATGAATTAAAATGATAAACGAGACATTTCCAAGAGAAATCGATTGTATAAAGAAATGAATCGTTAAAGAAAAGGTGATTACTGAATAACCTTGAACTTTGGTAATGATAAGTTAATAGAACTTTAATACCTTATTACAGAATCGCTCAAGAAACGTTTTGAAGAAACAAGAAACAACCTCACTAGTGACATTGACGCTAAAAAAGAGGAACTTAATCAAATTCAAGGTAGTGTATCTGACTTTCTTTCAACGTCATGACTATTTTTCTAATCTGTGTAAAATAAAATTGTAATTCATTTATATTTATCTACAACTTATTATAACAAATTAAGTTGTTGCTAATTTGACTGATGCATTCATTTAATCAATCACTTTGTCAGTAATATATTCAACAAACTAGAATTATCTGAAATGTTGCTCTATGTGTAAATTTGTAACTCTCATTAGATGTTCAAATGATTTAATTCGCACATTCAATTTTCAAGTATTCCATAATTTAATCTCTAAAGATATTGTCCGAAAGGAATATTAGGCTTGTTTTTGTTATTTACGTATGCCCCGTTTTTTAGATATCGCTGAAATTTATTTTACAGTTTAAATATATAAGCACCTTAATTCAGATAAGTAATTAAAGCGTGAAATCTTACTATCCTTGTGCTCTATAAATTGACAGTTTTCATTGAAAAACCGAAATAACTTGTTTACCAAATAACATTGTTTTGCGACATAAAATACAAAACTATTATTTTCTACACGCAGGGAAACTTGATCAACCTCAGATCGCTTTCTATGCACATCACTTGAAAGACCTGGCTCTTGATACTACAAATGAGATTCTCATATTTGAGAAGACATTCACTAACGAGGGAACAGGTTACGACGCGTCTACGGGCTTGTTCACAGCACCTGTTGGAGGACTGTATCAGTTTGATGTTCATACATGTGCTGCTTATAGAAAAGATACATATCTTGGCCTGGTGTTGGAAGGTAACGTAATTGCAGCAAATGCTAACTATGGTGATGCTTCTGATGGCTGTAGTAATTTCGGTGCAATAGTGAGAGTAAAATCAGGAGCACAAGTTTGGGTTAAATCCACATCGTCAGGTTCTAACCGCCAGTTGTATCAAAACATATACAGGATGAACACATTTAGTGGACTGCTAGTGAATTACTAGTGAAAAACTCAATTAAAAATCATCACATAAACAATAATCTTAATAAACTCATTTTAGTGTTAATACGTAAATATTTTAAAGACAATTGTTTCAATGGACTGAGAATCATAATCACATCAGGTTCAGGTTATGATTTTTCTGCTTTACGTTAAGCTGCATACCACCAGATGAGCCAAAAAACCGTTATCTGCAGAAATTATTGCATATGTTTTTCCGTTACACTAAACATTTCTTTCTTTCATAGGTTGGTAATAAATGATTTGAATAGAAATTGTCTTACATATAATGCATATATTTTAAGAACATTTTATTTGTAATTACCGTTACAAACTAATTTCAAACAAAATTCGTAGAACGCAAGACTTCTTGTTGTTCTTCTTTGCCATTTTCTGTTACGTCATATGTCTAAAGAATTATCAACAGTGATTTTATTGCATATTTCATACACTTTCTATATTGACAGCAGTAAACTTATAAGAATGATTCAATGTTACCTCAAAAACAGGTAACACTATATCAGTATGTTGCTTTAAAATTATGCTTAGAGGGAAACTAATGTAACTAGTAAAAATACAGAAACAGCACAGTTGTGTAAATATCACTTGTTTATCGATACTTTGAATGAATGCACTCTTTCAAACAAGAGAGTTACAAAAATAAAGATTTAGTTATGATTATACTTTATCAAAATGTCAAGGTTAACAGTATACAGTTATTTAATGGGTTTGTGGAACCGTCAATACTGTTGCACCGAGGTATCAGGGAACTGTTACCAGAGGCCGAAGGCAACAACATACTAATAAAAATATTTTTACAACTTTTTTAATTGTTAACAACTGAATCCTTCAGACGAACCACTACCATTGAGCTTAGCGACGTTGTACAACAGAGAAGTGGCGGGCGGCGTTAACGGAAATATTTGTATTCGGTGCATTAGTTATAAAAGTTGACCGGTCAACATTTCATTACATCATTGCGCATGCACAAAATCTTAGCGGTTCAATTAAACAGTTGTTAATAATATAAGGAATTAGTATGTATAGAAGGCATTAAGTAATGAAAAATATTGTTTCATGTTTAGTTTATAACATTCATTCATTAACAATAAATTATCTAAAGCAGATCGTTATGAATAATAATATCGTAATGAATAAAAATATCAATCATAATACGATGAGCTATTTCTTATAACAAAGAACTTTTTGTTCAAGCTGCCATGAGCTGACATGTTGTAATCAAAATTTAAAAATACTTGCCAAAAATTGCTTTAGGAGTTTTAGAAAAAATACAATTGTTTGCAAATGAATTATATATTTATTATTTTCGATTAAAAGTTTGTGATTAAAGCCAGCTTATCTGATTTATTGTTATCTTGATATTTTCAAGCTACAATTTGGTACATAATAATGTTGATTGTTCTCTTATACAAATATTGAAAATCGAGTGAATCATTCAGGTGATTCATTTACCCACAGTATAGTTAAATCACTTTATGTACAACCAGTAAAAGATAAAAGCATAAGACGCTATCAACTCATTCACCTAGTTTTAACAAAGTTGGTCAAATTTTAGAATTGAATTTAATAACTTAAAATGTTTTATGATCCATGGATAGAATCAGTCTTATTCAAAAGTTGAAAGTAAAGAAATAAACTAGCTTATATTTCATGGTTCATAGTTATTTAAAGTGTATAACTTTAAATTGTTTCAATTATCGTTATAAACTTGCAATTTTCATTTTAATTTTGAAATATGTCAGAAATTAGTATTTGAATCCCTAATAAAACTACCATCTTCCGAAAGCTTGATAAGTAACTTTCATACGTAAAAATCTTCAAAGATATCTATTAAACATTCAAACACGCTTCTCACCTTTCACCCTTTCAAACAGACATGGCAATCATGAGCATTATTACTAGATATATGCGCATCATAAACACGAATGCTAACACATTATATGAATTCATATAAACTAAATGATGTCAGGAAAATTATTTCTGCACGTTCAACATATTTCGATCAATATTATTTTTATCACAATGTAAGAATGGAAAAAGATATTGTTTTCTTTTATTATTCGTAGTATTATAAGGCACGGTTTATCGTTTAAATGCTTTGTCTAAAGTCGAATCAAAGATATAGTTATCAACAATTACTGCTTAGTTAATAAAGACTGTTCACGAACACTCAATTCAGTGTTTTTCTATAAACACTATACTTTTAATACATGTATTCGGTACTAATTTTTCAATTACAACACAGAGTGCCTTGTTTAAATACAGCAGTTTCCCCAGTAGGGCTTGGTTCAGAAAGTTTCTCAAACTTTCATTTACAAATGCCGGATTAATATGTTGTTTTCAACTTGCATTCATTTTTTAAAGTATATAACTTTGTTTAGGCTAGAGAGCCTGTATGGTCTAAAATGTAAAAATTAAAATCAACACGGAAAGGCGTCATTCAATGAACGCATGGTATAAAAGCAGAAACAGCGGCAAGAAGCTCAGCAGGAGAGCAAAGAAGACAGGACCCACAGGAAAATCACGGATTCATCTATTGGGAACATTTATTTTGTTAGTTAAGTAAAAAAATCTTGGTTAACACTTACTCGTTTCAATAATTTCACCACATAAACGATGTTTGTAGGCAGGCCTACATGTATACATATGAAAGACATATGGTGGCGTTCATCATAATCGTAGGGAAGCATACAGTTGAAATTAACATTACATAAAGCTTAAACTGTGGTTCAGATTTAAAATAAGCACACAGCAAAATCAAAATATTTCGGCCGTTATATAATGACTTATCAATTTTAGTCTGCCTCTTTAAACTGCAGAACTGAAGTCTTGAGTTAATGTAGGGAAAACTTTTCAAACCCTAATATGAAAGGATATAAGGACACAATTTAACTCTCACTAACTTTCGTTAAAACATACTAGTGCAAATGTTTTGTATTCTTATATGAGCAAATAAAGTTACGGTGCCGACAATTTATCCTTGGGCAAGTGGCAACTATTTATATTTCCATTATTTACTATAGAAAAAAATCTTTTTTATACATTTGATTTATTAACACAATAATTAAAGTTTACTTTATTACTGATTCGATGTCAATTACTTATACAGATGTAGAATAAATGGACTGAATGGTATTTTTTAAAAAAGAAATAGAGAATAGAAACAGCAACACATGTTTCTTAAATCTAAATTGGCAAAGGTCACATAGTGTCTGTCCACATGATGCAACTACTTATTAAAAAACTCTTACTTTCCATTTAATGCCACAAAGAATATGATAAACAAGATCGACAAGATCAACACTGCTGTATATACCCATTTAAATATGTGACGTTCATGTTTATATCTGACATATACCTTTACATTTATTTATTCATAGTTTTGTTTTGATAGATACACCATGTATAAGTGTTATAGGGAATGAAATTTTTCTTCATAAACATCATGACATGTTTTGATTTGCCTTACTGTCCATTACATAATTATATCGAATTATATATAAAAAGAATTCCACGAAACGCCGTTTATAGACAAATATAATATAATTTAGTTTACATTAAATGGGCATAGATCTTAGATATCATCAAAGTTATGTGGAATGTTTTGCTTGTTATTTTGTCTCCGAGATAAACTTAACGACTACCTTGGAGATTCCCATTTTAGCAAGCACTGTTTGCGAATATAAACTCAAAAAATTTAGTTGCAAATGTTTTTGACAGAGAAACATGGAAGTCATACGATTTAAGAAAATCTGTCTTGCTTTTCAAAAGTTTCATTTCAAAAATATGAAAAAATAAGTTAGGCAATACGTTATTTTGAAACAAGTTTCGTGTTATGGTTTTATTAAATGATTATGAAACATTTATTGATAAAGATAAAGATGTTCAATTTGTGAACTTTTTGCTGTTGTTTTATGCTTCTTACTAATAGTCTCCTATCAGTTTAAAAAAGATAAACAAGCATACTCGCCTTAATGACTTTTTTCTTGTATGTTTTTATCAGCACTGATATTATAAGTAAAATAGCAAAATGTACTAATAATTCCAATGTAATCATTATTATTATGTATAATATAAGGTCATTTTCTAAACATCATAATTTAAATTATCTATTCTGTTTCTTTCAGTTTAATGTCTGCTTGAATCAGCACTCTTGAACTTATTATGACAGTGTATAATTTATTTTTGAAATAAATCAAAGAGAATTATCGTAAAGGAAAATGAAATATTTTGAAAACTTTTAACTTTTCTATTGTACATTTAAATTGTAAATGGTAGTACTTGTTAACCAAGGTTTTAAATATTTGAAATGAATGATAATATTGTTAAGAATTCAAGAGTAACAACAATTAAAGCTTTCAATGTAATACACTTGAAAAATGCAAACGAAAATATATACTTATAAGAAATATCATGTTATTTTTGCAGTCAATATTATCTGAAAATTCCTTTGATGTCATTAACGTTTTTAATTCATTAAGCCTATAATTATACAGGCACTATAATGTTTATTGATAAAAACTCACGATTTCGGCGAACATCATTTATTTCAAATAATGTAAAATGTCTATGTAGTGAATAGAAAATATGCCTAATGCTATATATGTTTTTTTCTTTAATGATGTTATTGTAGTAACAAAAGAATGTATCACATTGTATTTAATTCAAAAATATTTTTATTTTTACAGCAGTTGAAGTGGTAATACATTAACTGCATCTAAATTCAATGTTTTTTATGTTAATGCGTACACATACACGTATTGTTAAAGCTGATACCTTCATATTAGTTAACATATTATAAACAAATCAAGAAGACAAAATCTATTTTTAAAGAAAATCCCTTTAAGACTTAGAGAAATAGTGGGCATGTTTATTGTCAAATTTGACTGATAATGTTTATAGTTTTATCACCAAATGTCAACAAGTAAGATATATGGCTGTGTATTTCGATATATTGCAGGTTATTTTTTTGCACAATTTGTTATCATGTGCATTCAGTATGTGTGGCCATCTATTAATGATATTTATACCGTCATTTTAATTAACAGTTCTATATCTCACAGCGTGCTACTTAAACTCCATTTCAGGTATAACGCTAGTTTGTTAAATGGAAAGATTAATTAAGTATACCATCACAAAGTCTCTAACATAGCACTTTTTCGTGAAGAGTTGAAACTTTGGTATTTATTACCGGGAATATGCTATATGCTCTTATAGAAGATGAAATGCATCTTGGTAAAAATAAGACCTCGCGAATAATGTAAGTTGAGTAAATGAATCTGATTAAAGCACTTATCATTTTGCCAACACCAAAGCTTTATCAGGCTATTGCAAAGACACGCCTTATTGTTATAGTTTTTGTTATGATTTTTATGAAATGCGAGCAATTATATCACATACGTGTCCGGTGTAAAGATAGTTTTATAAAATATACGCCCAGTTCTTTAGATAAAACAATAATTAACAATAGTAAGATATAAAACATAATATTATCATTTCCATGATATACGATATATGTTCACTTTTTCTTTATAAAATTAGGTTCGGTAGAAGGGTTTGTTAATTTTTGCAAGCTACAGCTAAGTTACATATGATTTTAACAGTTTACATATTAATGTTGTTCGTTACTTTATATATGATTATCTAAAAACAGCCAGCCTTTTCTGTGAATAAATCTCTTCATTTACGTCAATTACGAAATAATTTCAAAATGCTGCTTCAAATGAACCATAAATATTGCAAAATACGTCAACTTAACTATATTTCAGTTTTGAGTATTATCAATTTATATTCTAGGAAAAAAGATCAAAATAGTCAAAAATCAGAATTTTGAAACTTTAAAACATAGGATATTGAATGGGTATAGTAGGTTTATTACTAAATTAATTTAACGAGTTGAATAAAATCATATTATGAGAGTCTCTGACGAGCATAATATTGTTTTATTCAACGAGTTCAATTAATTTAGTATTGAATCTACATGAATATGATATTTTGTTTATCACATATCTAAAATAAACGGTTAAACATAATTTTTTTCAATGAAGCGCCTAAAGTGTAACTCTAACATTAGCGCGCGTTTACACCATGTTTGCATAAGACGCAAATGACGTCACATCAAATTGTTATTAATCTAGTGTAATATCGTTTCTATTGAATGGCTTTATTACACTTTTGCGCCGTATGTGATAATAAGTGATCTGGAAAAACCTGCATAAAGCCAAATTAAAAGGGTAAACCTTATGATTCTTCACTGGAAAAATTAATTACCTTTCTTATATAAGTCTAGCAATGTTTAAGGTTTTTTTATCCATTGATTGCAACAACTTAAATCGAGGTTTAAAGATACCTTAATTACATATACAGTTTGCGTAACGTTAAAGTCTTTTTATATCACAGATTTTTCAAATATCATTAAAAGTTAGTAATGATTGGTAACTCTAGAAACGGATCATCATCTATAAGCTAGTACCCATTTAGATTGATCCATATTCTGTTAACTAACTTGATAAGTAACTTTCTAACATACAACAATTCATTTCAGTGTTACCATAATTTTTTGGTGCCTCGGGATAATCGATTATAATACATAATTGTATGGAGAAACGAACACTGATATGGCAGGTGCCAGCGGATTGCATGTATAAAAATCTCTCATGGCAAGTGTCGGTCAAAACAAGTAATTTTCATTTTTCTGAAGAAAAAAAATCTTTCCTTTACACGATTTCCTTGTGACAATGTCAAAAAATAATTATTTGAATTAATGTATAATAAAACTTTTGGTATTACAGATCAGCACTTTATTTTCTTTCTGACAATATATTATTCTAAAAGATCTTGGAATCAACTTATGTGTTTAATAGAAACATGTTGATTTTTTTCTTAAAGTGCTGTCACTTAATTCTCAAGTGCAGTCTAAGAAAAATAAAATTGTTTTCTTTGAATTGTTTCTGAGGGATATCCTCCGAGACCTTACTTCAGTGCATTTCTGCTAAATAACTAAATTTAAAATATATTACGGGCCTCATACTCAAATAACAACGTAAATTTCTTTGTATAAATACAATTGTTTCTCTCAGGGAATACGATTAAGAGATTTTCTGAAACTTTAATTTATATTTTTGAAAATGAGGTTCTCACTGTTATTTGCGTTTGTTATTGTCGTTGGAATATATAGTTATAATTTTTCTGAGGCTAGAGAGCCTGTATGTTCTAAATTTGCGTACGAAGAACAGCTTTTAGAGAAAATGATTAGGACTGAAATTAAGGTAGAAACAATGGTATATGAAATTAAGAAAACTGAGGATAATATCATCAGTACATTAGGTGACATTAAGCAAACAGTTGCTGATTTCACGGACATGTTTTCTGATATGAGAGGGAACATAACGGACGAGATGTTAAAAAGAGACAAAGAGATCAAAAGGAGAGAAGGTATAATTGAAAAAAAATATCAAATCAAATATACATTTCTTACAACAAATTTAAACTATTGAATGCAAAGTTTAAGATACTTTATATATCAAACTATTGTATTTTTGTGGTGTCTCAGTCAAGGGAGCTAAACGATGAATTTTAAATACATAACGTTAATTGAGTAACTCCCCCTAGCGTAACAGCTCCAAACTTATGAGATTTATTTCTTGGAAAATTCTCGTGCTTTATACACTGAATTACAGCTTTTGTATACACCCCCTCTTTAAAATATTGTATTTAACGTTTTTTTTGCTGACCTAAATTCATTACATTGATTTATAATTGTGTACATAAGATGTTATTTTACTATTCTACCCAGTCAATTATATTGCACAGTTCAATTGGTGTTGTTACTTCTCGTAATGATGTACTAAAATCAATGTACTAAAGAATTATCTTCGAAATGGCACCATTTCATGACATGTATAAACATGTTGCAAATAACCGAAATAGTTTAAATAAAATAAGAAATAAACTTTTTACTTTGTGCATGTTTCTAATAATGTATAAATTTGTAATTGTTGGTAATATAGATGAAAATTCATTGTATATCTTAATAACTATTTGGAATAGTAAATTTAAGTCAAAGCGAGACAAAAAAGTACAAACAATATATTTCTGCAATTTTTAACTTTCTGTAAACTATATACAATGTATAAAACTATTAATGTTGCAAAAATGACATTGAATGTACGAGTTTCTACAAAAAGCACACATACGCCTAAAATGTCCATTAATTGTTTTTAAACAAACCAGAGCATGTAATGAATGACATTAAAATAATAAATGATACATGCTTTACTTTTCTTATTTCCAAGGGAGACCGAAAATATAGCAACTATAGATATAGGATCTTTAGTAGAAAACTTACGAACTGAATACCCCTGAACTTTGGTTAGATATTAGTTAATAGAATTTTCTCACTTTATTTCAGAATCGTTCAAAACATTATTTAAAGAAACAAGAATAAACCTGACTAGTGACATCGAGGCTGAAAAAGAGAAACTTATTCAACTCCAAGGTATTGTTACCTATTGCATATCAATTGCGTTTGATATCTATTTATCTACAACGGATCAAAGAAAATTAAAATGTTGCTTACCTGACTCATGTTTTATATTGGTATATCACGTGGTTTATAATATATAACAAACAATGTTGATATAAAAATATGTTGCTCCATTTGTATATTTCTAACTCTTATAAGACGTCCAGAAAATTTTGTTTACATTCACACATTCTAGTTTTTAATTGTATAAATTATTAAAACTATACAGATATTGGCCGAATATAAGTAAAAGGTTTTGTTGCTTGCATAGGCCCCTTGAGTTAGATATTTTAGATACAAAATACAAAAATATTATTTCTATTCTCAGGAAAGCTCGAACAAGCTCCGATTGCTTTTTTTGCACATCAAGTGAAAGACGTGAAGCTCGATATAACGGATGAGATTATCATATTCGAGAAGACATTCACTAACGAGGGAACAGGTTACGATACGTCTACGGGCTTGTTCACAGCACCTGTTGGAGGACTGTACCAGTTTGTTGTTCATACATGTGTCTATCCTAAGAACTATATATATATTGGCCTTGTGATGGAAGGTAACGTTATTGCAAACACTGTAAACTATGGTGATTCGTCTCATTGCTGTAATACTTTTGGTGTAATAATGAGAGTTAGATCAGGAGAAAAGGTTTGGGTTAAAGCAACTGTGTCAGGTTCTAATTATCAGCTTTATCAAGACTCATATAGGATGAACACATTTAGTGGTGTACTTGTCAGTAACTGAATTATAAATAAATCAATTAACATTGATGGGAGTAAAATCAGATTGTTATAAGCTGACGTTAAACGTAAACGTTTCGATGTAAACTGCTTCAATGCATTTCTTGAGACTGTAGTGTTTTGTGAAATAGGTCGAAAATTGTCGATTTATCTATGATGTGTCTATATGTTGTGACGAATATTTTTATACCATGGTTTAGTTTGCATATTGTTAATATTAGTTAATGTTAGTATCTTATTTGCATACAAAATAGAGAAAATAAGAATCCTTAAAGAAATCCCAACACGGCATAATTGAAAATGTTGCAGGCTTGGTTTGATCGAGCCTACTGTCAAGTGCAAACTACCGTCCATACCCCCTAGCACCGTCTTAAACAGAATTCAACATTTAACATGAACTTGTAAAATTTTGAATTTTGAAATATCCGCATATTTGTTCATACGGCGGCTAAATGTGACACAGTAGTGCCATTCCATGAAAAGCGGCGTATGGTCCCCCAAAAGTAAAAAAGGCTTTTTGCCCTTTAACGAGGAAAACAATGTGCGGAACAACATAAAATGGAATTTTGAAAGGGGACCTGAGGTTATGAAGCCAGCACATCACAGATAAGACAGATAAACCATTCCAAAATGCTATGTTATGTGTACCTTGTGTGCTTGAGCTATAATCATCTTACTTTACAGGAATGTTTTTCAACATGTAAAGCTATGAACCTGGGGTTTTGCGTGTCGATTCTTTCCATTTTTGTTAGAGTGACTGCCCTTGACTTCGTATAAATTTGCAATTTATTAAACTTGCTCATGTATAGCTCAAATAATATTTGCACTTTAGTCCTAAACAAATACAAGAATGTTGGTCAGCATGTGTTGTTATGCACCTGGGGTTTTGCTTGTGTATTCATTCAGTATTCCCTTGACTTGTGTCCCGCATAGCCAAAATAAATTGACATAGAGTCAGTAGATTGATAAAACAGTGGAGTATGGGGGCACACAAGTCCTACGGACAAATTTCTTGTTTATTTACTTAATCGCTTTTTGTTTGCAACCTTTTGCTTGATAATACGTTAGATATAATACACACACGAATTTCTTAATTAATAATATTTATTGCATCATCTACATATACAATTAAAAAACAATATCAAATAAACAATAAATCTTTAATATATACATAACATTTATTGAAACAAAGTAAAATATAAATAAAAACCTGAAAACCCCAAAAACCAAATCACAATAATATATCATAGACTGACTATAGAAACTAATAGTTGTTAAACTGACCAGAAACAATATATATGTTGATACACGTCGTCAATTATTTCTGACACTCAACCTTCCTAAGATCATATTTTCTTGTGAAAATTCCAGAAAACAATATATTTTAACATAATATTTTCCTGTGATAGACAATATTCAAGAGGTACGTAACAGATGTTAATTGATACAAACTGTTGAAGTTAAAGTAATTTCAAGGAAAACATAATTAATATTTAGATAATACAAACACCATATCTGTAGTTTATAAATATATTGTTCCTTGTATTTATTCATACAGTTATCACAATCATTTTGAAAATATGCTTCTTAATGTCTGATTTTTGTGCAGTTCGATCTTACTGTTTCACAATTCCTTTTCAATATTCAAATCCCTTCGTTACTGGATGTACATGATGTGAATTGCGTTGTTCTGTTTTTGCATGTTGCCGTTTGACGTTTTAATGATGTTTATTCCATTAATGTCCTTTGATATTGCTAATGTCGATATTTATACAAAAATTAATAAAGCCTTTTTTGTATATATTTTAATAAAAGCGGTGACGTTTTCTTCAATTAAAAATATATTTTTCCGTTTAATGGTAATTGTTTTCTTTTATATATTTTCTTTCTTCAGAAACGTGCTTCAAAAAAAAAAAGCTTATGATAACCTGAATAAATCTTCTTTTTGTTTTGCATAATAAAAAAAAGATCAATGTTCTTTTTGTATATCGTACTTTACTTTTAAAAGCAAACTTTTTACAATTTTTTCTAACTAAAGACTTTCCATTAATTTTATCATCGTCTTGTGGTGCTTCGTTTTCTTCATTTTCTGTGTCAAATAATGAATACCCAGAAAAAGACGAATACATGTAACCATGGATATATGGCGCACGCTTTAGAAGTACGAGCCAGACCTGGTCCCCGGATGTTAGATTCAATATGGCGGTGTTCGACGACGTCGCCCACAACGGTATACTCTCTGCCCATATTGTCTCCACCATCGTTCCGTTGTTCATCAACATCGCAGCAGCCTACAAATGAAAACATTAGTAACAAATCAACATTTTTAGATATTTACCTTCTTCGTATATATGGTAATCAATGTTTTAAAGGCAGTATCTTTTTGTAAGACTGACACAATGTAATTGTATACTTAACATGCATTAAAGGGACAATTAAATTACGTAATGAATGAAATATAGACTTAAGTTACGTTCTTGAACTGGATATAAATTTCTGTGTTTGAATCTACATTTTGCATTACTTTGGTAATTATGTTATCATATACATGTACACATTCATATTGTGACCACCTAGATCTATATTGTGTAGAATTTCCAATGTAACATGTCTGCTTTGTGTGAAGTCAAACATGTTTATTTATACATGTATTTACAAAGAGACCGTGTTGCAATTATCAATATTTTTCAATATCAAATTTGAGCAAAGTATATCTTTTAAAATTCGATTCGTTTCGTATTTGCACTTTGATGTTATTAAACTGACGTCATTAATGACGTCATCAAGGAAATTTTATACCTTTTGCCCCCCCTGGGCAGCAATCACGACAGTAAAATGATACAAACCAGAGAAAGGAATAGTGACTCTTCTAGTTTGTTTATCATAGGCATCTCCAACATTTGTGTGAACCTTATCGAAAACAAGATCAATGTTTTCTTCTATCTGACCCTTGTTTTCGCCCAGGCCAGCAAAGAATGCCATACGATAGGTTTTATTAACAGACTTACCTGAAATATATAAATGCATTCACCATGCATAGTTCGTTCAATTCACAACTGTACATTAAGATATTTCTGGATAAAATGGTCCTATGTCAACTTAAATGTAAACTATCAGTTTATCAACATTGAAAACAAGGGAATGCTTGGCAGGTAGGTACATATTTTTTATCAAAGGTTTGTGCACGCCCGTTCACAAATTCTTATTTTATTTGTAAAAAAGAGCGATTTGGGACCGAAAACTGCTAGGAAACCAGTTTAACATCGCACAAAAAATAACATTGCGGTGATTCTTATAAGCCTTGTAATGACACGTTATATATAGAACAATGTAATATGTCAGCTTTCTTAAATCAATGGCCATTATAACAATAAAAGGAATAGGAAAAGCAGAACGATTAATCTTGTTTTCATAAAGTATAATGTGATGTTAAGGTTTTGTCTTTTACGTTTTACATCCTCCAGAGCTTGTAATAGGATCAATTTGTATAGAAGGATGATGTTTGTTTGATTTATCTATTGATTAAAATCTTATATTGACTGAAGTAGACATTCCGATATCCGACCTACAATTGCGATATCAGCACATTGTAAAAACGTATGAAATGACATGTTAAACTAGTATAAACGCTACAATAATATCATCGTCGCCAAAAGAAAGAGACAAGTTTTTTCCCCGGCCGTTCTTTCTAATTTTAATTTTGTTTTGTTGTTAACTGCCACAATTGCATTCAATCGCAGGCTAATTACCAGTTATAAAACACACCCATGTCTAACTTTACTAATTGCTTTTCACCACTACATTTTTTTTCTTTTTTTAGTGTCTTGGTGAAAAAAGGGAAAACTTGCCATGGCGGTTATTTCAATTCCCAAGCTTGGGTTACATGACTTTTAGACGACTATTGTTTGAAAGAAAATTCGAATATGTTGATATATGGTCTTACATGAACAGGCTCAATCAAACCGAGCCTGCAACATTTTCAATTTTGCCGTGTTTGGCTTTCTTTAGGGATTCTGTTTTTCTCTATTTTAAAATTATATTTGATTCTGTATCTCTTTATACATTTGTGCATTTGCATGTTATTAGTAAAAATGTCTTCAATAACTGAGTTTTATATATCAATTTCAAATATCGCACCATTGTATTGCGTCTGGGTAATTTTGACCGTGGCTTATATTAACTATTTTTAGGTAGCGACACGGCTTATATAGATATTAGTTTCCCGTATACTCCGTATGGAACTTATATGATAAATTTATGATATTGCTAGAATATAAAATATTTTTCAGATTACTAAAAGGTCAACACAACAAAAACTTTTTTTACATGTTAACGTACAGAAAATCAATTTATCGATATACGTTATTCTTATCATTAATTGTACATGTTATCTTATTTTGTTAATTTCATTTTTAAAAGAAGCTGATTAGCACGAACTACACACAAAACTATTACATTTAATAATATACATGCAAATATATTCATAGGGTTGTAACTTTTTGCTTAGACAACTAATTAAAAATCACAGAAATTCAGAAAGGAAAGTTTTTGAAGTACTCTAAAATTAATTATTGTGCATTGAAAATACTTGAAATGCAACAAAATCACACGTATATTTTTTTTTAAACATTGGACTGCCCAGAAAGCCAAAGGCTTTATTTTGAATGAGATCCATCGATTAATATATACTTAATGTTCCATGTCATTTTACAAAATAAAAGTTCAATTAACATCAAATGATCTAAGGATATGAAAGTTATTATATTTCCTTTTTTATAACGTGTGAATCTGATTTATGGATAACTAGAGGTCCTAATGTCGATACAATGTTATTTACATAGTGTAAAGTAACATTTTAAAGGAAAATATACTACTCGTAAGCCTTAGCTATACATGTTTTTATCTAAGAAGATTATGCATGCATGCAAAGTCCCTATTAAAAGGTAGTAACATTGTGACAGTTTCCCTAACAACGCATTCGGGTGGTCAAAAATTGTATGAGTCCCTTTTGAATATGGATGATATCTTTAAGATATACTTTTATGATGGACACTTATATTTACAAAATATTAAAGACATGGTTCAATACAGTTTGCTATTTTCTATAGATAACATTTAATAGATTGATTCCGCAGGTTAGAATGTCTAATGCTTTCGTTTGGAACACGATGATGAATAAATCTTCATTAACACATCTGGTTGGACTTGTGTACCTTTATATGACACTGAATCAAAGCAGAACACAATATTGTCTTTATCTACTTTCTTATGATTTAGCAATTAATATTCCTACTTGAATAAGGTTGAACCCCCCTTAGGATATGTGGCCTGCTTTATAACTTTGTCTTTTGACATCTTATCTGTGACATGCAGGCTTCATAAACACTGCTCCCCTTTCAAAATTCCATTTTGATTTGTTCCGCCCATTGTTTTATTATTATCATTATTATTTCTTCGTTTAGGGCACACGCTTTCTATTACCTGGGGACCATACGCCGCTTTTCATGAAATGGCACGGAAGTGTCAGATTGAAAGTTCCATGATAACCGCGGCATAACATATCTGCTAATGTTTCTTAATTCAGAATTTTGCCATTTCATATTTAAATGTAAAATTCGGCTTCAAACGGTGCTAGGGGGCATTGACGCTAGTTTACATTTAATAGCACCACAGGCTTTATCAAACAGAGCCTGCAGCACTTTCGATTTTGACGTTTTGGACTTTCTTTATGGGATTTTCATTTTCTCTATTTTAGCATTTTAATACAAAAAGTTAAGACGTGGGTAAAAGAAAAACATCTATAGTAAAATACATTCATTTTGTTTCAGTAAAGAACGGGATAGTTTATTGTCCACAGGTTAATGACATTTTCTAACATGTGTAAACAGATTAACATTTTCTTCAGCATAAAATATTAGTTTTCAGTCTTGGCCAATAATTTAAATAGCCTGATAAAGTGTAAAGAAAAAAATAAACACAATTGGTAAATAACAATTATTTAAAATGTAAATACACATATCGCAAAATGACTCATTGAAAATTTAAATACTTAATCAATAGAATATTGAAGCTGAAGCGATAAATTTCCACCATGTTTTAACTAAGAAAACAAACCCTAGGGAGGTAAGCACCGGGGGACTAAAGGGAATAACTCGCAGGTGGTTCATACAAATAGCGTGTCAACCAATGAAAATTCGAAAACAGTGTTTTCAATATTATTATATACTTATAAATCAAATATCGACACATTTTGATGAAATAAAATGTGTATTTTCATTGTCCGTATTTTCACAGTAAAAATTTATTTTTCGCTGCAGTGGAACATATATTTTGTATTTACACTGGCATCTTGTCGGACTACATTCTTCTAAATTCAGCCAATACACAATATTTTAGAGGAAGTCTTTTAAATTGTCACGTCTGAAAGAGCAAAATGCATATAAGAAACAGAAAACTCAAGTTGTTTTTCTATAAATAGATGATTTATTTTCATCTTGTGGTATGAAATTTATTATATTTCATACCGCTCAATAAAAAATAATCCTGTATTTATAGAAAACCCATGAATATCCTCTATGTGTCCGATTGAATTGTAATCTTTAAATTTATGTTATTTTAGGAAATAAAAGTAATTTTCAAAAATGGGGAAATACATAAAAAAAAGTTCATTGACCCGATGTGATATTATGTCTATCCAAGCGTTAATGGTCAGGTAAAAACCAAAATAATTTGACATTTTGTCATAATTGTGTTCAATTTTATATTTTCCTATGAATAATCAAAGTATTGGTAGTATAATTTAGCTCGTTTTATAAACATTTTTACACTATCAATTATTTGTCAATCACCTTGTGAAAGTCAATGTTTTTAAATACATTATTAATTAAACAAAAAGAGCAAAATGAGCATAAAGTTACGTTGAATATTAAGTGTTCACACCGAAACGCTCAAATCTTGACGAATGTGCATTTTTTTTTTCACTCACATAGTCTTAAAATAATTCCTAGGGAATTTTTTGTATCAAAGAAAGTAAAAATGAAAGAAAAGTGTGGAGATAATGCTGTTATATAAGACTTAAAAAGATTGTTAGACACTCTATTGTTAGAAAGCCTTCACATGAAATCGTAACCGGTTTTAATATGATATCATATCTTCTTACCAAATATATAAAAGAATTTGAAGTGGTCACATGCGCGTCATTAGGTCTTAGATTTGTTTATCTATCACATTTTATAGCGTACTGAACTTAGTGAGTGAGTAAAATGTTTGCATCAATATCAAATAAGTATCATGTTGTAAACAGCTCATTGATTAATAAAAGAAATACGGAAATGCAAAACATATAACATGGGAAGACATGCATTCTATTTAAAAATCTGTTAGAACTGTTAGACGGTCTATCGATAAAGGTATAAACATAACAAGTTTGTATGAAATTATGTTATATAACATTTGGTGAGATTTGCTTTTAGCGAAGTATTGTAAAGAAATAGATTACGCATGTTTAACAAACGTGCAAGAAGCTATCAATATTACGGCAAAAATAACGGGAATACTTAAAAAAATATATGATAATTTACTTGATTTGCTTTAAAGGCCCATTACACCCCAGACATATTTTTATTTTCTAAAACCTTTAAATTTTTTGTGTCCTGATATAATTTCAAACATAGCTACATGTTGTCAATCATCGGAGCAATCTTTTGCTTCTGCTGCTTTTGGTAATTAGTACAGACATAAATATTTAGTATTTTGTATCGAAGTCAAATACTTCTTTCTTTACATACTTTCCTACTTTTATGACAAAAATAGTTCTCATTCACCTCAAATTCCTTCTTGTTAAGAAACATTTAACATACTTTAAATCCAGTATTTAAACGCCATAAAACTCTTGTAAACCGTTTCTAAAAGAGATAAGAACGCCATAAAACTCTTGTAAGCCGTTTCTAAAAGAGATAAGAACGCCATAAAACTCTTGTAAGCCGTTTCTAAAAGAGATAAGAACGCCATAAAACTCTTGTAAGCCGTTTCTAAAAGAGATAAGAACGCCATAAAACTCTTGTAAGCCGTTTCTAAAAGAGATAAGAACGCCATAAAACTCTTGTAAGCCGTTTCTGAAAGAGATAAGAATTTATTCGTTTCAAATGCTTAATTTGCCTTTTAGTAATTAGATAATATATGCAAAAGAAACAAAAACACGCACGTTTTGCAAAAAAAAATGTAAATGACTCATATTTTGATGCAAACTATCCAGCGTTCAAACATATGACTTTTCTATTTATATACATAATATACAAACCTTTAAACAGAAAATAAAAGGTTAAATAAATAAAAACGTTCTTATCCGACTTCGTATTGAAGTTCGCATATCACGAAACTGACGCACGAACTTCTATGAACTGGCTAAATTTTCACAGCTGTTCATAATCTTCCTGGATAAAATTAACACTAGAATTAAGAAATTGAAATCTAATAACCTTGCCATCTGTTTAATGCATAGATTTATCTGGTCGTCAAATCTTTTAACGCAAGTTAACACAAATTAATCATTTATAATTATTTATTATCGCGTTTAAGATGCAGATATTAATTTGAAAATATAAGCCTATTATCTTACTGAACTAGCAAAATACTGATAATTAGCGTAGATAACATTTTACAGACATATGTTCACTGTTTCTTTTAAACATAAGGCCCGGACTAAGTAATTTTCAATAATGCTAAGATGTTTCAAAAATGTATTTAGATTTTATATGGCTACAAAACCTTTAAGAATCTAGCAATATTAATTGTTCAAAATTGTAAAGTACCGATAGGTTCAAATAAATCAAACGTGAAAGGCTTTAAAATAAAATTGTTTTATCAAAAATATAACTGACCCTTGATGTTTGGTAAAATAAACAGGGCTGGAGCAATAATAATTAATTGACCAAACTGGTTGGATAAACATAATATGAACAAGCCAAGTATGTTATTTTCATGTCATAAATGCGCTGCTAAGGTCATGTCTGGCAGGGTTGCTAAACAGATGAAAAAGATCGTTTAATGATCGTTTAGCTATATATTTTGTCAAGAAATTTATACGAACAACAACGGGAATAAATCAGATACTTCAGTAAATGGGCGTAAAGACTCAACCACAAGTTTTAAGTAGCTACTGATGTGTAACAATGGTCGCATGTCATACTTATTGTATCAATATGTACAATAAATGAAATAAGAGAAATGGTCTATTATAGTCAAAGCATGAACGGTTGTAATGTAATACAAAAAAAAAGATCGCAATATCAACTTAGCATTGTTTTAAACAAATTACGCCTACTCAATAAAGATATTTTATTATGCCTGTTTTTTTTCTTTGAATGCATAAAAGTTCGTGTACTGTATGTCTTGAGTAGTGAAATTCTGTTCTCTTCAGAATGACTTTTGATATACGGGCCTCATTTTCAAACTGACATATTTTCTTTGAATAAATACAGCAGTTTCTCTCACATGGTTCAATCCTGAAAGCTTCTCAGAGTTTATTGCAATTGTTCTCATCAAAATGAGGTTCTCATTATTATTTGTGTTTGTTATTGTCGTTGGAATATATAGTTATATCTTGTGTGAGGCTAGAGAGCCTGTATGTTCAAAATTTGCATACGAAGAACAGCTTTTAGAGAAAATGATTAGAACTGAAATTAAGGTAGAAACAATGGTGAATGAAATTAAGAAAACTGAGGATAATGTCATCAGTACATTAGGTAACATTAAACAAACAGTTGCTGATTTTACGGACATGTTTGCAGATATGAGAGGGAACATAACGAACGAGATGTTAAAGAGAGGTGATGAGATAAAAAGGAGAGAAGGTATAATAAAACAGTTATTTCACAGCAAATTCACATTTCTTACAGCATATTAAACTTTTAAATGCTAAGTTAAAATAATTTATATACAAACTATTGTATTTTTTGTGGTGTCTCAGTCAAGGAGGCTAAATGATGAATTTAAAATATATAATGTTAATTGAGTTACTCCCCTTGGCGTGAGAGTTCCAAACTTGTCTATATACACTGAATTCCAGCTTTTGTATAGGACCACTTCCTCCTGTACATATTGTATATATTGGCTGGGTTGAGCTTAATTCTTTACATTGTTTTATGATTGTGTAAATAATATGTTATTTTACTGTTCTATGCAGTCAATTATATAGCACAATTCAATTAGTGTTGTTGCTTCTCGTAATGATGTACTTGAATTAATGCTTCGTAATGGCACCCTTTCAAGAGGTGTATAAAACATGTTAACCGAAACAATTTTAATAAAATAAGAAATAAACTTTATACCTTGTGCATGTTTCGAATAATGTAAAGTTTAATTTGTAATTGATGGTTATATGGATCAATATATCTTAATATTTTTATTGATTTGTTAAGTTTAAATATAAAACTATTAATGTTGCAAAAGTGACATACATGTATAATGTACGAGTTTCTACACAAAAAAGGCGCATACGCCTAAAATTTTCATTAATTGTTTTTAAACAATAACCAGCGCATGTAATGAATGACATTAAAATAATAAATGATACATGCTTTACTCTTTTTTATTTCCAAGGGAGACCAAAATTATAGCAACTATAGAGATAGGATTCATAATAAGAAACTTACGAACCTAATACCCTTGAACTTTGGTTAGATATTAGTTAAAATAATTTTCATACTTTATTTCAGAATCGTTCAAAACATTATTTGAGGAAACAAGAAAGAACCTGACTAGTGGCAACGAGGCTGAAAAAGAGAAACTTATTCAACTCCAAGGTATTGTTACCTATTGTAAATCAATTGGGTTTGATTTCTATCTATCTACAGCGGATCATAGCAAATTAAATTGTTGCTAACTTGACTCATGTTTTATTGGTATATCCCGTGGTCAATAATATATAACAAACAATGTTGATATAACAAACAATGTTGCTCCATATGTAAATTTCTAACTCTCATATGGCGTCCAGATAATTTTGTTTACATTCACACATTCTACTTTGTAATTATTGTAATTATTATAACTCTACAGATATTGGCCGAATTTAAATATAAGGTTTTGTTGCTTGCATAGGCCCCTTGAGTTAGATATTTTAGATATAAAATACAAAAAAAAAATATTTCTATTCTCAGGAAACCTCGAACAACCTGCTATTGCTTTCTATGCACATTACTTGAATGACCTGCTTCTTGATACTACAGATGAGATTCTCATATTTAAGAAGACATTCACTAACGAGGGAACAGGTTACGACACATCCACGGGATTGTTCACGGCACCTGTTGGAGGACTGTATCAGTTTGATGTTCATACTTATAATAGAAAATATTCTTATCTGGGTCTAGTGATGGAAGGTGACGTTATTGCAGCAGATGCTAACTATGGTGATGCTAATCATGGCTGTAATAATTTTGGAGCAATAATAAGATTAAAATCAGGGGCAAAAGTTTGGATCAAATCCACATCGTCAGCTTCTAATCGCCAGTTATATCAAGACTCATATAGGTTCAACACATTTAGTGGACTGCTAGTGAATAACTGAATTAAAATTAATACATAGACAATAATCTTAATAAACTCATTTCAGTGTTAATACCTGATGCGAAACGAAAATATTTTGGTGTAAATTGTTTCAATTGATTGAGACTCAAATCACATCAGAATGTCATTTGGCTATTTTAATACCTCCAGATGAGCCTTATTATTTGAAGAAAAACAAACTTGCGAAAAATGTTCAATCTTTTAAGTACAGTAAAACGACTTAAGATTTAAGGGACTCCACTGAGGTTTTTTGACATGATGGGATTGAAAATGTCTTTTCCAGATAAATGTACCATTTGATATAGGTTTAGACCACTAATCTTTGTGCAAAATTTCAGATCATTCGCGCACTTCGTTTTTCCAGGATAATAAGTCAAATTGTAAAAAAAATGTCCCAAAATAAAAAGCATTTAAAACGCTCTTCACTCAAATCGGCTAAGAAAAGCCCAGAAAAATACGATTTCAATTTATTTCTAAGTATGTTTCTTAACTATCTTTGCATATGTTTCTGTTTAAAGTGTCCCAGCTCTTTTTATGTTAAGAAAAATCAAATATTATGTTTTTAGGCTTTTAAACCTCAGTGGAGTGCCTTTAAAGCAATAGTTTACATGTTATATTCGACAGATGACTCATTTTGCAGTATTTGTCACCATAATTTCCAGGAATGATTTTTTGGACCACTTTTGGTAACAAACATGGACTATAGGTGCCGTTTTCAATTTGTATTAGTACTTTTCTTTGTTCACTTTACAATACCCTACTTTTAAAAACATTTTCAAAATCTTCATGAAAATGATCATGGATCTGAAGGCATGCTGCTTTCACCGTATGCATGTAACATTTTCTGTTCCGTTATGGCAATGTCGTTGTGTACAGTTTAAAACAGACATTGATGTCATATTAATGTTCACGCCAAGTTGTAGGTCATTAATTTCTCGCACAAAGCTATTCAAGTATTGCGTGAAGATATTACTACTCGCTGAGCGACGCGACTCCACAATAGTTTTTGTTACAACTAATACAAGCACCTGTCACGTCTATTCAATTTTAAAGACTATTTCACCTAATCGAATTAAAATCAATATATGGTCCTCACACTGATCTGTCTTTCAGAATCCATTTGTAAACAATTTATTAAGTAATCGCTTGTTTTATAAGTAAGGCTCCACGTTTACACTTTGCTAATAACCTCTATGTACAAGAATAAATAAAGATTCAGGGAGGGCTCATCATCAATTGAATCAGACAAATTTTTTGCATTATTACCCCTTTTTACCAAAAATTCACGAGCACATTTTGCAATGGCAATGCTGTGTGGAGGGTTGTTTGTTACATTGGAATAAACCACTAGAATTGTAAAATCATGATTAAGCAATGATTAAGAATTTTGTAAAGACAATATGGTCATTTCGATTTAAACGGTAAACCGAATATTTTAAAGTTATGAATGAAAACCGAAAACCGAATCCGTTAAAACGTGTAAATCGTGAGGGCCTATTTATCTATATACATATTACTACAACATGAGACAGTAAATATACGCCACTATAATTCAACGGTTTATTTATTGTCAGAATTTTTGTCTTTTTAACCTCGGAATAAAATTCTCAATCAATCAAATATAATTGAAAGAGGTTATGTTACACTGGTCTCTACAAGAGGACTTTCGGTACGCATATGTTGGAATGCGTATCTAAACCACATCACATTTTTATATTGCAGTCATATAACGTTAAAGATTTATTTGATGAGAATGATAATACCGGGTAATTCACAAAGAAGTTCTTTCGCTGTAAAATAGCAACTCACCACCTTGTGATAATTTGTTTGTATTTATGACATTAACATCGTATATAAGCTAAACTGAAATAAATAGGTTTTCATGGCAGGTTGTTATTCCTTATATAGGTGTATAAAGTAAGAAAAAGCTTTGTTTTGTTATACAGCTAAATACTTGGGTAAATGCGTTTAAATGATTTTGCGGTCAAAAATCTTTTTAATAAGAAACCTATTTTATTCTTACAAAGATTCCAGTAAATAATAACGTTAAAATTTTTTGGAAAATATAATACGATTTACGTTATAAGTTTCGTTGGGTGGTGAAATAGACAATATTACAAGGGTTGTAAAAATAATGTTTTATTGATACAAATTGGGGTTTCAAGTCCATAAAATGAAAATGCCATCCGGCAAATCATTAATAAATAATGATAAAACATCAAATCGGAACAGTTTAAAATTAATAAAGTTGAAACTAATATCATGTATTCACCACCGTATATCAAAATTTGACGTAAAGTCTTTTTTGTGGCGCTGCTGTGATATACAACTGTTTTTCTTTTGGCAAATGTTTTAATTTCTTATGAATTTCTTTATTGTAATTTGCCTTTAGGCGATTTTCCGCCCGATCGTTGGTGGTAAGTATAAAATACAATGGGGGGATTTATAAAGCTTTCTTTAGGAACAGCAATTTTTTTCATACAAATTATTTTTTAAAAAAAAAATTCTTCCAAATGGAATTTTTTTTTTTTAAGGTTCTGCATTTTTTGGCAAATGATGGTATAAATATTATGTAAATAATTTAAACAAATGCAAAATTAAACAGACCGGAGGAAAACGTCAGCGTAAAAATGAACGTCACGGATAACACCAGAGCCTCATTTGCCCCTTTTAACGAAATAACCGAGGAAATGGTTTTTTGTTTCTGTAAACCATTGTGTGGTATAAAATTGTTATCACTTAACAAGACAAAAACAATTTGAAGTATAAAATAGACGCCTTGTTTGAAATTCTGAACCGTAAACCCTAGTATAACGATGCTTTTAAATCTTCCAGAAAAAATAGTTTTTAAATCAATTCGGGATAGATAACTGTATTTAGGATTTTTAAACGTTTCTCATGCGTTTTTGCCTTTCCCAGCCTTTACCTCGACATCCAACCTTTGAATCGTCAATGATTTTGAATTTTGCTGGTCAGTGAAACCGTATCAAATATTATTGTTAAATATCTAACATTAAAATGTTTTACGTCGGAGTTTTATACTTTTAAAGAAAATGCACTCAAGTCAAAATGCTAATCAGTTTCCAAACAAATAAAAAATGCAATTTTTTTCCACGTGCTCCAAAGGAAACTGTCCAATGCGTGTTTGCTTGGACATTTGGGATTACTCACGAATAAAAATAATAACCTTCATAAAAATTCTACGAACCCTTTCGGTTTGCGCCTCTATACCATGAAAACTTATAATAAGAACTTTTTTTGCTTATTTTGAATTAAATGACAGTAAATATTTAATAAGATTTAAATCTATGTTTAAACCACAATATTAAAAAATGGTCGCACTGGTAAAACTTTTATGTTAGGTAATGTTTGCTTAAAAAATTATGCCTAAGAGGAAAAAAATTTAAGTGTAATATTAAAAATAAACAGGAACAAAACTGTTGTGTTAATATCACTTGTTTAACGTTGCTTTGAATGAATGCACTCTTTCCAACAAGAGAGTAACAAAAACAAAGGTTTCGTTATGACTATATTTTATAAAAAATGTCATGGTTAACAGTATACAGTTATTTCATGGATGTTTATGGAACAGTCAAAACTGTTGCCCCGAGGACCAGGAATGACATTTGGAACTGTTACCAGATGATGAAGGCAACAACATACTAATAAACATTTTTACAACTGTTTTAATTGTTTACAACTGAATCCTATAGACGAACCACTACTGTCTATTGACCTGAGCGACAAGTGGCGGGCGGAGTAATCACTGTTTGTTCAAGCTGTCATCATCATATGAGTTGAAATGTTGCCAATTAAATTTAAAAAAAAAATTACTTGCCAAAACTTCGCTTAAGGTGGTTAAGAAAATATACAATCGTTTTATGCAAAAACTGATATATTTATTGTTTTTGATTACAAGTTTGTGATCAAAGTTATGCAGATACAGATGTGTAGAGAATCAAGTTTTAAGCGCATATTCACCACGGATATATGTACTGTTGTGTTATCCTCCTTATTAATAATTCTTTTAAGAACGGCTATACATTGTTTGTGTTTCTTATTATTTATGTTAAAAGGTAATAATGTATTTGCAGAGATTTGAGAAAAAAGGAAAAGAAAACTATATAAACTTTACTAAGCATAAATGATACATTTAAAAAGTGTGGATAAAGTAAATGCAGAGTTGACATGTATGTCAACTCCCTTATGTCCACTCCAGGTTTTGGTTGGGCTCCCTTCTGGATGTCCTACTTTGGTGTGTCGGGGGGCTGCGTCCCCTGTGAACGTTGTCTTTGCCTTGTTGATCTTAATTATTGTTTTTTTGGACATTTTTAATGCACTCCAGCAGGCTTTAAACCCATGAGGACCTAGTTATACAATATAGCAGTGTATGACAAGTATATATATCGTCATCTTAGTTTATAAAAAAACAATAAAACGATATTCATTTTTTTAATTGGGTTTATTATATTAATATATCAACAATAGAATTTTTTTTAATTAAAGTAAGTTTATATCATTATAGGATGACTTAGTATTTTTAATAATATAAGTCAAATTTTTGGATCACGATTAAATTGAGGATATAAGAACCTAAGCTGATACAAAACTGTAATGCAGAACATATGGAATATAACGTCAACAAAATAACCCCTCTTATTGAAACATATCGTAATTGCGGTATCAATCATACCTTAATTGCTTATTTATAGTACCTTATTTCTTATGATAAATGCTTCACTGACGTATATTCCTAAGTTCCCTAAGGTGTATAAGCTACGTTGTCCAATATTTTCGGCAATATACTTTTTCTAACATCAATTATTCGTTAAGACATTCAATTACAAAAATTATATATGAAAAAGTTGTTCTGTGTATGTTTTTCACACCAAGTATTTTTATAGCCTTCTATAATTACTTTTCAATTATATATATATACATAAATTTGTCAGTCAACATTCTTCAAAATAGGAGGCACAGGCTTTTCTTCTGTGTATTTAAGCACATTTATACAAATGTTGATAAGAAGTGAACATAGCTTATTGTGCCTGTAACAGCTAATGTACAAACAAAGCAACCTTCCTGTTATATAATACTACCCGAATATCAGAATAAACTCAAAGTCAATGGAATCATCATTATTATTATTATTATTATTATTATTATTATTATTATTATTATTATTATTATTAAAATATTTTTATTATTATATACTGTCATGTATAATATTTATATAAGCACATTTTCTAAACATCATAATTTAAATTTTGAGAAACGTTTGTATTTATTATTTTTTCTTTCAGTTTTAATGTATGTTTGAATCAGCACTCTTGAAATTATAGAATGTTTAATCTATATTTGCAATGGAAGGGAAAGATCGGGTGTGAAGAAAAATGAAACTTTTTGAAAACTGTAAGCTTTTTTGTTGCATTTAGAGGAATAAAATGGTATATGGTACTACATGTTAACCGAGGTATGAATTATGATATTGTTTAGGATTCAACAGTAACAGAGTGTAAGGCTTTCAATATGATAATCCTGATAAATACCAACGAAAAAATCTGCTAATAAGCAATATCATGGTATTATAACATTCAATTTGCAAAGGGAAGAATTAAGTATAAAATTAAATGGTTACTTACAAAGCACCTTTTTTGAAGAGTTGAAACTTGCGTATTTATTTTCGGGAATAGGATATGTTTGTATAGATTATCAAAAACATCCTGGTAAAAAATAACACCTCTTGAATAATTTATGTTGAATAAATGAAATTCATTGATGCTCTTATCATGTTGCCAACAGCTAGAATTTTTCAGGGTGTTGTAAAGACACGCCTTGTTGTTTTTGTTTTTTTTTTCATCACGATTTTCATTAAATGCTAACAAAAATATTACCTCCGAGACCGATATAAAGATAGTTGTATAAAATATAGACCAAAATTCTTAAAATAAAACACAAAATATTAAGATAAGAATAATAATGTTTTCCTTTCAATAATACAATAATATCTATGTTTACTTTTCTTAATAAAATTAGGTACGGTAGGAGGGATTGTTAATGTTTTTAAATGACAACTTAGTTACTTATGATTTTAACAATTTGCATGATATTCTTGTTCGTTACTATAATTATGATTACCTATATATTGGAAAACAAACAAATCAGTCAGCCTTCAATGTGGAAATAAATCATTAAATATGTACGACCATTAAAAAATTTAAATTCTATAAGCTCAATAAACAGCTACAAGTAGTTGTACGAATGGAATTAAATCTTCAGAATAAAAATTAAATGAGTAAAAGCAAGTCCGGATAAAACAATATTAAAATAGTTAACGAAATGTTCCTTCGTTTCTGCCACTAATTGTTAGTTTTATTATTTACGATTTTGATACATTTATAGCAACGACTTCAATCGAGGTTTAAGATGAACTTTAAAGGACGTTATTTCACCAACGGTTTCTGTAATGTAAAAGTGCTTTTTTTATACAGATTTTTCTACTAACATTATAAATGAGTAATGCCTGGTAACTTTAGAAACGGTTCGTCAGTCATGTGCTTGTACCCGTTTATAATGACAAATATTTCGTTAACTTGATGAGTGACTTTCTATATAAAACAATTCATCTCATAGTTGCAATAATTTTCTTGTGCCTCGAGATAATCGATTTTAATACTTAATTGTATTAAAAGAATCTAATACTGCTTTAGCAGCTGCTAGCGGATTGCACCTATCAGAATCTTTCATGATCTCGATCAAAATAAGTCTGTAATTACGAGTGTGCATCAATAAATTTCGTGACAATGTCAAAAAATAACGATTTGAATTTACGTATAATAATACAATTGGTATTAAAGGTCAGCACATTACTTTCTTTATTAAAATATATCATTCTTAAAGATCTTGGAATCAATTGTATGTATTTTATAGAAACATGCTGATTTGTTTTTTATGTTTCTTGTTGTGCTGTCACTTAATTCTCAGTTGGGAAGTGTGGTCTATGTAAAGAAAATCAATCTGCTTCACTCGACTTGTTTCTAAGGGATATCCATATTTCAGTGCAGTTCTGCTAAACCATTATACAAAAAATATAATACGGGCCTCATACTCAAAATAACAACGTAGATTTCCTTGTATAAATACAATTGTTTCTCTCAGCGAGTCAGATTTATTTTTCAACTCTCTTCATCAAAATGAGGTTCTCACTGTTATTTGCGTTTGTTATTGTCGTTGGAATATATAGTTATAATTTTTCTGAGGCTAGTGAGCCTGTATGTTCTAAATTTGCATATGAAGAACAGCTTTTAGAGAAAATGATTCGGACTGAAATTAAGGTAGAAACAATGGTGAATGAAATTAATAAAACTGAGGAAAATGTCATCAGTACATTAGGCGACATTAAACAAACAGTTGCTGATTTGACGGGTAACATCACTTACGAAATGTTACAGAAAAGTGACGAGATAAAAAGGAGAGAAGGTAAAATATAAACATCAGGTTTACATTATCTGTTTACTGAAATATTTCTGGCGTAATGCGAAAATGACATATATACAGCATATAATTTACAACTGTTTGTTGTTTAAGTCTGAATCAATATAATTTAATAGTTTGTATTGCTTTATGCAAACTGAAATGAGAAAATCTGTTATATGATAAATGCGTGGAACATATGAAACTTAAAGAAACATTAGCTGTTAAGGAGAATGCATTTCATACACCGGTGACTTTAAAGTGACATTATGCTTACATTTTCATGGTCAAGTTGAGCCAAGTTAACTTTATATTTTAAAAGATTGACTGTCAAAATGGTGATTGACCAACAGTTGTTATTGGAAAATGTTTATGGTAAAATTATAAATCTGTCTAAAATTTAAAAAGACTGCCCCACTCTTTTTATAAACTAAGCGTTATAGGTAAATTCTTATGGATATTTACAGAAATTTTGTTTGGATATGTGAGTTATTCATTGTTTATGCGAACTTAATTATTAAATTAAAAGGAATTATGACAAAATGGAAACATATTTTGACTTTCACCCGTTCACTCACTATACACCCTTGGATGGGCATAATGTCACTTTAAATATACGTTTATAAACAGTAGAATATGGCATAAATGTTATTGCCGCAAACTTATAGACCTTTTTACGACGCGATCCGTTGCTATGAAAAAACGACCGGAATTAGAATTTTCTCGCGCATGCGCAATCTGCGTAGGGCAGAAAATGCTTCGCCCTACATAGAAATATTGTAAAAGTTCTTAGACAATTCCGAGTTAGTTCAAGGTAAACGGTAGAAAATTATATAAAATAGATTTCAAGAAATACAGAAAAGATGACTTTATAGCTTTGTGGCGAAGAATGCCATAAAAAGGCATGGAAAAGATACTTGTTTAAGATTTTACGATCACGGATTTGACACTGAGATCATTTTTCTAAAGAAGATGTGGAAATATATCTATTAGCAAATGAAAAGTCAACTTATTTGCTGTTGAAATAGTTCATTTAAAAACAATAGAAATTATATAACATGAAATCGAGATTAATTATCATTCAGAAAAAATATCAGAACAGGTGATAAGGCATTTTTATTGTTCAATATACCGGATTATATCCTTTATCCGATTTGCTTGTGATGCAAACAGAAAAATTTAAGTCACATATAAATAGATTTTAAATATTTTTTTTTCAAAATCTTGAGAAGTTAAGATGGGTTGTTTGGAAAAGATATAACACACATTTTATCCGCTTTTTCGTAATACATGTTATTTTTGACAATTTTTCTCTTCTCAAAATCCATAAACATTGATCGGTATATTTAAAAGTTACATAAATTACCATTTTAATAAGCGTAAATGATTAATTATATCATGATATTAAACGTCCCGGTTGAATGAACAAACGTTCGCGTGCCAATCTGTTCAACACTTGCCGCCTTACCAAAACAGTTATTCAAAGGAAGTATACAATACAAATTGTGTAATAGTATTTAATACAGGGGTCATAAAATTTTATCTTTATTACCCTGCTGTTTCAATTTAAATTACTGATGGAAAAAAACGTCTACTGATACCTTAAACAAAGACATGTGTGTGCCCGTTATGACCATTGAATTATTACTCCCGCACATTTTCGTAGATCTGTTAGAAAATGAATTCACGTTTTCAGTACTTACCGCCTTAAGTCATCCCAAAATTAATATTCTTTGGGTGACATAACATAAATCGCATCTATTAAAGCCTTAAAGTATGATAAACTGTACACATCGTTATTGCTTTTTGCCCTACGCAGAAATGCAACATTCGTTGCTTTGGAAAAGCGTATTTTAAAAAGGTCTATATTCTATTATAAGTTTCCTTAACCCGTCTCATTTCGAAACATATAAAAACAATATTATAAACATAAATCAATAAAAAGTAAAGGCAAGTGAAAACGAAATCATGTATAAAGATAACAACATCAAAAAAGGAATTTTCATATGGACATTATTTTTTATAAAATTGATTGATAATTAACATAATCGTGCTAAACAATTTGCTTGTACGAGCATAAACATGTATAACATTTATAAAAAAATACATCAGTTAATTGTTGCCATTCTGCCCTTTTCTGACGTGTGTTTATCTTTAGTTCTTTCTATTTGTTGCACCAAAGAACACTGTTGTATTTTTAATTATGTTTGCGATATTCATGTTTGTTTGTGTACTTCTGGTCTATACAAAACATGAATAACAATGCACATTTATGTTAAGACGAATATACCAAAACAATCATATTTCCATGAAGGAAAACGCTGACTCATCACATTGATTTTTCTTATTAGGGAACATATATCCTGATTTTTTATTACATTTATTTTATATTGAATAACGTTATGAAATGGCTATTTTGTCAGCCAAAAGAACATTGAAATTTGATTATAGAATGTGACCGAGGAACATCAAAATATTTATTACTTTCTGCAGACAGTTCACATGTACACAAAATAACACATAATTTAAAATACTTATTGAACTTTGATTACCGTTAGTAATTGTACTTTGATATTTTTTTTACAGAATCCTTCAAGACATTATTTGAGGAGACAAGACAAACCTCACGAGTGACATGGAAGCTAAAAGAGAAGAACTTACTCAACTACAAGGTATTTTTTCGCATTTCTCTTCCATGTGATGATTGTTTCCAAAATGTTGTTTTGATTTTATGATTCAGTTGGTTTTATGATTTAGTTGGATCTTTTGAAGTTCAATCACGTACAATATTTTATCAATTATCAGTTTGAATATGTTTTTTTTATATTTGACTAACCTGTTGCTGTAACTATAGACTAGGCCTTCCTATCATCGTACAGCATATTCAATTACATGTATTATTTCTTATTTTGAATACATTTCCTCATCTTTATTTTACATATATAATCCTTTAATATAAATATCTTATTCCTTTTATTTTATATTCTACGTCAGAAAATGGCGAACACGTAAGCCAATTGAAATTCAAGACAAAAAAATGAAATTTGATTATAGAGGGAGTGCAAGGAAAATAAAATAATAAAGTTAGAATGCATGTTGTTTTGCTTCCTTTAGTAACACACGTGTCTATGTAAAAATATATTTCGATTTAAGTTTCGTATTATCAGCAACACTTTCTGCAAACAGTTCACATGTACACCAAATAACACATGTAATACTTATTGAACTTTGATTACCGTTGTAATTGTATTCTGATATTATTTTTACAGGATCCTTCAAGAACTTATTTGATGAGACAAGTAAAAACCTCACGAGTGACATGGAAGCTAAAAGAGAAGAACTTACTCAACTTCAGGGTATTTTTCCCATTTCTCTTACACGTGATAGTAATTTTCCAAAACTGAATTTCATTTTTTTTATTATATTAAGTGCATTTATAATACAATATATATTACATCAATGGTCAATTTGAAATATTAAGAACTTGTTCAACTAGCATGTTTCTGTAACTATCAACTAGTAATGCCAATCATCCTTAAACCGATTCAATAACGTGTATATATTCTAATTTTGATTTCATCATCTTTTTTTTTTTTGCAAACATGTTTCTATTATAGCTCTAAAACATCACATTTTACAACTGTCAGATATTCATAAAATATTTCCTCAACGCTTATATTACAATTTGGCTATTCTTTATATTTAACCATCGACTATTGATTTATAATTGTTATGTTTTGTAACCGATTTACAAACAAAAATTAAATCATAAAGAAACAATTTTATTTTATGCTTTTCAGTGGATTACTGATTTATCCGTGAAAATTATATTTGGTAATTTCACAGTGAAAATTATCAAAATATAATTTCACTCTTTTCAATCATTGTCAATGACGAAACTACTTTTTTAAGATTTTCCCCATGTGGTACCTCAATTTTATTTTTGCTGACAATTCTGACAATGTCAGGCTGTTTAAAGAAAAAGCAAAGCTGAAATTGATAAATAACTTAAATGTCAAAAGTAATAAAAAGAAGAAAATTTACTTCTATTCATTCAAATTCCAATCACCAAATTTCGTCTCTAAATTGTTTTGTTTAATTTTTACAGTCTGAAAAATACATTCCTTCCCCATGCAAAACTGCTCTTGATGACATTTGGGCATATTAAAGTATCCTACGAGCAATAACTGCCGTATGCTTTATGAAAAATTGAAAAGCATTGACACTCGAAGAATAAGTAAAACAACCCAGCGTTCTTGAGCAAGCTTTCAAGTTTTCCATTTTCCTAGCTCCTTTTCTGAATGTTTTCACATCTGTCAACACTTATTTTTTGTCTGTTACAATCCTCAAATAAGTTTTCTTTCTTTTAAAAAGGTGTATGACTAACAAATCCAAATTATATTCCTCTGAATCTTACACAATTATTTTCCTCCCATGAAATACACAACTTTAAAAAATGTCTGCCGCTTACAATTTACAAAGCCAGGTCTAATATAAATTCGCAGTAAGTAACAGAAATATGGATGGATGGTTGGACTTTTTCTCCTACAAGAATTGTTTGTTTTTATTATTAAAACAAGCGATCATTCATATTTTTTTTTAATAAAATGAATAAATATCACCGTCATTTAATGTTGATTGGCGGACTTATTTATCAGCTCAAGTCTTCTTGTTTTTAATGACAAATTCCGACTAAATGGGGCTCTCAATTGGGGAAACAGTTTTATTATTAACGTTAAAATTATGGAAATTTCGTTTTAACTTGTTTTTAAGCATAAAATAAAAAGAAAATTTGTCTGCTTGTTGTGTAAGATGAAATTTTATTTCATCTCGTGAACTTTATAAACAGTATTCTCACTCGTGGCTACGCCACTCGTGAGAATACTGTTTTTAAAGCCCACTCGATGAAATAAAATTTCATCTTACACACAAACAAACAAATATCCTCTATGTAAGAAACACGTACTTACTTTTTTTTCTATACTCAGAAAAACTTGAACGACCCCCGATCGCTTTCCATGCACATTATTTGACAGATTTCGTTCTTGATACTAGAGATGAGATTATTATATTTACGAAAAGTCTGATTAACGAGGGAACAGGTTACGACACTTCTACTGGGATTTTTACAGCACCCGTTGGAGGACTGTACCAGTTTATTGTTCATACATGTACTTATTATGCAAAATATGCACATATTGGCCTAGTGTGGGAAGATAAAGTTATTGCAGCAGGATTAAACTATGATAAGGATTATGACACTTGTAGTACTGTTGGAGCAATAGTAAGAGTAAGATCAGGAGAAAAAATTTGGGTTAAAGTAACATCGTCAGGTTCTAACCGCCAGCTATATCAAGACTCAAATACGATGAACACATTTAGTGGTGTACTTGTCAATAACTGAAGTAGTATAATGATTCAACTTTTGTATATGACATTATATATTTGATTTTGTTTTACAAATATTCTTACGATGATTATCGTCTGACGAATATTTTGATTATCAAGTTTAGAAAAGATATTATTTTTCTGTATTTATCATTACACGTATATAACTATATTATCGCATTTTCAAATAAATATGGTATGTATACACTTGTACTTATTTTTTTTTCTTGGCACACAATATCATTATCATATATAATATTCCAGGTTGCAATTAACTTTTGGAGGAAAAGGGGACATGTATAGGTGTCTGCTTGTTGTTGCAATGACAGATAAAGTCTCAACAAGAGCGATCAGTGATCACGTTTCGCCTCATGATGGCCAATTTCGTGTTGTGACCGGTTTTGTGACAGACAGACAGACAGACGGACAGTGCGCAACAAGACTTGGTACTAATCATTCCTGTAAAGTTTGGATAAAATTGCACCAGAAGTTTATGATAAGTATTCCAGACAAGCTTTTGTGTATCTGGCAACACATAGAAAAAACACCTTTTTATCAAAGGGCCATAAATCGGCCAAAAATCATTCAACCGGAGAACCCGTGCAATATACGCAAGGACTTGAGCTACAGATCAATCCTGTAAAGTTTCATTCAAATTGCATTAGTGGTATAAGAGAAGTAGTCCGGACAAACTTTAAAAATAAAAATTATTAAAGGGCCATAACTCTTACAAAAATCATTGAACCGGAAAATGCTGACAATATGCACAACTAGACTTGGTACTTATCATTCCTGTAAAGTTTGGATGAATGTGCACCAGTAGTTTATGAGGAGTAGTCCGGACAAGTTTTGTGACGGACAGACGGACAAACAGACAGACGGACAGACAGACGACGGAGAAGTGATCCCTATATGTCGCCACTACTCCGTAGAGGCGCCACAATAAAAACAAATTTTACAACAAAGAAAAAACTTATGTAACAAACGTATAATAAAGTACATGCACATTTTGTTTGAAAGTATCATTTGGTCTATTCATATTCTTTTTTTTCATGTAAAAAATATTCATCACATACCCGTTGCGCTTTTGCCACTCATTGAAAATGTTTTTAAGGCTGTTGATATATTTTGACGTGACATCGTTTGCGTCATACAGAACATAACAGAACAGGACAGAAATTTAGCATAACAAGATCATCACCATATTACGTATACAAATACAACATATAAAACATAAATAACACATAATATGAACGTATATATCACTAAAACATTTTGGTTTATGAAATGTGAGAAAACGTTTTAATAGATTTATACAATGATCAAGAATTTATCTATCTTTAATACCTTTAATATCTTTTTACACTATTTAATTTAGCTAAAATACATTTTTTATACTTGAGAAATTCGGTAATGCATATAAATAGAATCCACAAAGAGAAATCAACATAATGATTATGACAAATGAATGAGTAATAATTGACTTCATTTCTGCATGATAATAAAATACGTTAGAATGTTTAGTCTTTACTTTATAGAGACATAGCGTAAAGACACGCTTAATGTAAGTTAGTAAGTAAGTAAGTAAGTAAGTTAGTAAGTTAGTAAGTAAGTAAGTTAGTAAGTAAGTAAGTAAGTAAGTAAGTAAGTAAGTAAGTAAGTAAGTAAGTAAGTAAGTAAGTAAGTAAGTAAGTAAGTAAGTAAGTAAGTAAGTAAGTAAGTAAGTAAGTAAGTAAGTAAGTAAGTAAGTAAGTAAGTAAGTAAGTAAGTAAGTAAGTAAGTAAGTAAGTAAGTAAGTAAGTAAGTAAGTAAGTAAGTAAGTAAGTAAGTAAGTAAGTAAGTAAGTAAGTAAGTAAGTAAGTAAGTAAGTAAGTAAGTAAGTAAGTAAGTAAGTAAGTAAGTAAGTAAGTAAGTAAGTAAGTAAGTAAGTAAGTAAGTAAGTAAGTAAGTAAGTAAGTAAGTAAGTAAGTAAGTAAGTAAGTAAGTAAGTAAGTAAGTAAGTAAGTAAGTAAGTAAGTAAGTAAGTAAGTAAGTAAGTAAGTAAGTAAGTAAGTAAGTAAGTAAGTAAGTAAGAAAGTAAGTAAGTAAGTAAGTAAGTAAGTAAGTAAGTAAGTAAGTAAGTAAGTAAGTAAGTAAGTAAGTAAGTAAGTAAGTAAGTAAGTAAGTAAGTAAGTAAGTAAGTAAGTAAGTAAGTAAGTAAGTAAGTAAGTAAGTAAGTAAGTAAGTAAGTAAGTAAGTAAGTAAGTAAGTAAGTAAGTAAGTAAGTAAGTAAGTAAGTAAGTAAGTAAGTAAGTAAGTAAGGTAAGTAAGTAAGTAAGTAAGTAAGTAAGTAAGTAAGTAAGTAAGTAAGTAAGTAAGTAAGTAAGTAAGTAAGTAAGTAAGTAAGTAAGTAAGTAAGTAAGTAAGTAAGTAAGTAAGTAAGTAAGTAAGTAAGTAAGTAAGTAAGTAAGTAGGTAAGTAGGTAAGTAGGTAAGTAGGTAAGTAGGTAAGTAAGTAAGTAAGTAAGTCAGTAAGTTTTATTTACTTAAGTATGTAGGTAAGTAAGTAAGTAAGTAAGTAAGTAAGTAAGTAAGTAAGTAAGTCAAGAAGTAAGTAAGTAGGTAAGTAAGTAAGAAGTAAGTAAGTTAGTGAGTAAGTAAGTAAGTAAATAAGTAAGTAAGTAAGTAAGTAAGTTAGTAAGTAAGAAGTAAGTAAGTAAGTAAATAAGTAAGTAAGTAAGTAAGTAAATAAGTAAGTAAGTAAGTAAGAAGTAAGTAAGTTAGTAAGTAAGTAAGTAAGTCAGTAAGTAAGTAAGTAAGTAAGTAAGTAAGTAAGTAAGTAAGTAAGTAAGTAAGTAAGTAAGTAAGTAAGTAAGTAAGTAAGTAAGTAAGTAAGTAAGTCAAGAAGTAAGTAAGTAGGTAAGTAAGTAAGAAGTAAGTAAGTTAGTGAGTAAGTAAGTAAGTAAATAAGTAAGTAAGTAAGTTAGTACGTACGTACGTAAGTAAGTACGTAAGTGTAAGTACGTTAGTAAGTAAGTTCACGTACGTACGTAAGTAAGTACGTAAGTAAGTAAGTTAGTAAGTACGTAAGTGCGTAAGTAAGTAAATAAGTAACTAAATATTTTATTATCATGATATGTGCATATCTGTTACAATACATATCTACAAGAAAAAATAACATAGCACCCGGCAAAATGGACCTGTAAGTCACCAGAAATTGACCAGTTCGTTTTCAAATACCAATTGAGTCAATTTGTATATTACTGAAGAAGAGCTATTAGTAAATAATACTTATTCATCTTGATTATAGTTTAAGGAGTTTGTTTCGCTTTCTTTTCTCGTGATTATGTTATCACATTTTAATAAAGTTGTCCACGAATCTTTATTACCTGCCGGCTCTTTTGTTATAAGTTGTCTAGTAAATCACTTACCGACCGCTTAACAGGTCTGCAAATGTATACCGACCTCTTATCGTTCTATTGTGTCCTATACAATAAAAATATTTGAAGTCGAGAAACTCGTGCATTACACGATATTTACTGTAAACGTATATCCCGTCACGCAGAAATTTTGTAAATTTAACACTTAATTGTGCAAATTTATATGGGGCAGGGGGGGGGGAGGTGGTGGTTAATGACCACTACGAATAGGAAAAAAGGTCGATATATATTTTGAAGTACATTTGCCTGACACATTTGCCTAACTATAAAGCTTCATAAGATACTTGTTTGTGGCATTTACATTTACATCTATGTCTGATTTTGCACAATCCTGCATCATTTTAACAATTCTGTATTATGGAATATATACGACGATTATATTATTGGTGCATATCGAATCAAAGTCAACTTCTTCATCTTTCTTTCTCAAAATATTAATTTCAGTGAGAGTGTAGTTCATCTTAAGCAAAGACCGGTTTTCTCATTTCCCCCAGTTCTTTTACATTACAATTTTAATTTTGTATACCAGTACTCGCCTATTCCTCGCAATAATACGACTTGCGCTTCCATTCCAGACTGCGGTCTTATTAAACATATTAGAAAGGGATGATGGTAATTAAGAATACACCGAAAGAAAATTCTTATAAACATGAATGAAATTCTAAGAATATTTAAAATCAGTCATCATAAAAACAACTACAACAACAACAAAATTACATAAGAATTGCAGACTCGATTTGATTGAGTCTGTACATGATGGATAATGAATAAGTGCAACATCCCTCACGCCCCCTAGCACCGGCTTGAGCGGTACTCAATTCTCAACACCAAATAGTGCTGACATCAGAGATCCCGAAGGGCCAGAAAAATATAACAACACTGAAGTGAAGTACGTGGCAACTTTTTACAGCTGCCACACAGCACTTGACACCTGATGTTGTGAAGTATAAAAATCTGGAAACAAAGTGATCCCTCGGACGCATTAATCACAACAAAATTATATGAAAATTGCAGACTCGGTTTGATTGACTCTGTACATGAGGGATAAAGAATAAGTTCAACAACCAGAAAGTATCACTAGTTAAATAATGAAAACAATTAATATATTTCAGTAACATTCAATTTGTTTCAAAATATTACAGATAACCGGTACGAATCTTTAATTTGTAATATATTTTGATGAATCCAAGTACAACGGTAACACATAATTACAAAAATAGGGTCAAAACGATCAGAACAGTGAGTAAATGAATTATATTTTGTAGTAAATCGAATAATAGATAAATTGATATACTAGTATATGGCTGCATAATTACGTTGTTTTTCATATTTGGTATACTTGAGACATATGTCCATTCTGAATTTACAAGACATAAAGTAACATAGTGTAAGGGAGGCAACTCATACTGCAAATATTTCCAATATACATTGCATAATCACCTCCCTTCCCATTACATATTCATATGCATATTACTTTGTTTTGCGCTTTGTTGCGTCACATCGACACAGTATAGGTCATAAAGCCACGTTCCAGCTTTACTTGTGGAGGAAGAACGTTGGTGCCCTTCCGTGCATTAGGCACGAACGGGTACCTGAGTAGAACCACCGACGTTCCGCAAACTGACTGGATAGCTTCCTCACATGAAATAATTCATAGTCCCTGTTGGGATTCGACCTATAGCGGTGAGGAGCAAGTGATTCAACGACCTTAAACTCTCGGGCACGGACGCATTATGCATATTACAATTGGAAGCATTAATCACAACAAAATTACATGAAAAATGCCGACACGGTTTGATTGAGTCTGTAAATGAAAGATAACGAAAAAGTGCAACGTTCCTCACGCCCCCCTAGCACAGGCTTAAACACTTGATTCTCTTGTTTTGAAGGGATTTTTGGTAACATTGCCTTTTAGTGAACAATTAATAACGTTCTAAAAGTTTAAACAATTATCGTACACAATTTGTGAACTTATTATAAACCGATTCCTAACGAGTAAAATCATTTACAGCATATTTATTGTTTACATCACTGAAAAGATAAAGAAGTTAAATGATAAATAAAAGTACATGTATATTGCATTTGCCTCAAGACTGAGAAGCAAATACTAATAATAGAACCATGAGTTTGTATACGCTTTTCAAGAGACTTAGATAGTAAAGTACAAATATCCTAGATTTAAATATCATTACCATTATGAATCATTACGTATACACTGTATAAGCTTTTCCTCAGGTCTGGTCTTGTCAGACATACTTGGAAATATTAAACATTTGGAAAGATTTACCCGCGTACATGCAGGGAAAGAAAATAATGAATGAAATAAAAATTAAAATAAAAGTTATTGAAGATTTTCATAATATTTCTGCCATGTAAAATACGAGAAAAACGAGATGATAGTGATAAAAGAATAATAGAATTATCAATGACTCCAACGTCCCTATATTAAAGCGTGCAACAAAAGTAATGGTCAGTCCATTTACGATAGGACATTTTAGATTCATTTAATTGGTTTATTTTCGAAGAAATAATCTTAGAAGAAGCGGTAATTTCGTCACTTAATAGGTTCAGGATAGGTTAATCGCTC